ACCGAATCTATAGCTATATAATAGGTCTAGCCTATGTGACTAGACTAGTCTCACTTTTCAATTGTAAAGGGTTATGTACAACGGCTAAAGACTCCCACACTCACTCTCAGACCATGAATTCCCCTTACTCAATTTCAGGGTGTCATAAGTATTTGACCCACACCGTCTAATCCAGAACTAGTGATACTGAGCATTGTGTCTGACCTATGCCACACTCGTAGGTTATTGTCAATACTAAGCAAATATAGAAATGAAATATTGCTAACCATTGTACGCAAACTTAATAAAGGCTACACTATGTGGATTTTTCATTGTCTTTTGTCTGGTCTGTGGGTTTACTCCTAAACCGATAAGGTAATGAACTAGTGTAACCCCTTCAACTCGGTTAACCTAGTGGGTTGACTAGGTTAATCGATTATTATTTTTTCAGACAAAATCCCTAAAACGAAACATCCTTTTAGGGGATTTTTTTTCATTTTTGAGTTTCACAGATGGTGAATTCAGAAATAAGATAACAAAAAAAGTGAAACTGCTGTCAAAAAATGAAAATTAGAGGTAGAGCATATTAAGTCCAATCCAGATTTTCAGACAGCATTTAGCAGCATTTAGTTCGGCCTTTCATCTGTCCTCTCCTCTCTCACCCTAATCAGCGTCTTTTCTCTAGCTTAATCTCCGTCTCTTCTTCAGGCTTTAGCTCTATCTCCGTCTCTACTATCTCCGTCTCTTCTCCAGCTTTATCTCCGTCTCTGCTATCTCCCATTTCTTCTCAAGCTTAGTCTCTAACTCTTTGTCCTCTTCTTCCAGCTCAATCTCCGTCTCTTTCTAGCTCTGTCTCTTATCTTCTCTAGACTTTTGAGATTGAAGGGTTGTAATTGTAAGGAGATATTTGAGGTGTTGTATTTATTACTGTTAGACTTTTGAGTGGGTTGGATTTAGGTGAATGTTGTTATAATTAATGTCTTTGTTATTTAAATTGTATTATTTTAATCATGACGGTTTGTCACCGGTTCAACCCCCAGTTTAACCTTGATTAAACACTACTACCTGTGACCTAGTGCCATGATCGGTTCAATGATCAATCGGTTTTATGTACCTTAGATTTCTATCATAATCCCTCTACTATAACTAGGGTGAACTCCTACCCATTATGATCATGCAAATCAATCAACAAATGTAAATATAAGCTCTGCATAGTATAGTAATTCATCATCCTCATAATTTCTAGAGCTTGCATGCTTATCATATTTTTAACACCACATTATAGATTTACAATAGCTCGTTATATAATCAACTCATAGCCAATCCAAGCCTATCATTCATATGTTCAAATACCAAATAACGTTTATATAAACATAATCATTAAGCATTTCATCACAAATAGTGCATGCTTACCAAATCTCTTCCAACATCATCAATTAACAACCACTCATCATGTTAACACATTCATTTCATAGGCAATCTAAACTTAACATCTATATAATATAATCACCAAACCTTTATCTAAGGAGTCATGTTTCATATTTGGATAATAGTTCAAAATCAATATATACATCCATAAGCTCATTTCAAGCCATCCATCCATATAATGCTTAAAGTGTAAATGTAGACATAATAATAAACTATATTTAAATTTTCAATTACCATCAACTCTTGATTTACCAACTAAGAGTACTCATAAATATCAAACGAAGCCTTTGATAAGCTCAATAGCACTAATAATGGTCAATCTACAATTTAACACATTAATAGTCATTAATGACTAATTATCTTTAATTTAATTCTAATCAGAGTCTAAATTCAAAATTCCATTGTGGTCATCTACCCATAACCAAATCTATTTTTAGGTTTCATTAGTTACTTAAACTCTTATTAATCTAATCAATACTATTAATAACTCATAACCTTCTTATCTCAACTACTTAGCTTAGGGGTTACTTCAAACCTCGCTTTAAAAATCCTAAAACGTCCTTAGCACCATAACCCAAATATTAGACCGAAAATAAACCCCATTAATCCCTTAAAAATCAGATTCTAGGAAAAATCACAACCCAATTTTAGATTCTCAAAGAACTACTCAAAAACAATGACAAACATGGCACAAGAGAGGAAGAGAAGAGGTTATAAATACTTACTTAAGTGATTAGAAGCTTTAAATAGACTCAATTGGATCTAACAATAACCTTAGCAAAGTCCTCTTTATTCAGCTTGAGACGCTCCACTCAATTCTCTAATTTTTTTTGGAATGCTGAAAAGTGAATCTAGAGCCTTAATAAACCTTTTGCTGCAGCTAAGGATCAAAATTTCAAATTCCAAACACTTTTCATCTAATTAGGCTCAAATATGACCAAATATTACCTAAAGTCCAATTCTAAGCCTTAATTAGGGTCTTATAGACTATTAGCCATCCACACATTATCTATTAATCTGAATTAACTCTTAATTATCTAATTTATCCTTAATTATCCAATTACCTTAAGTTAAATTTTTCAGGATATATAATCCACGCACGGTGATCACCTCTTTGGATTACAATCATAAGCGGGCGGTTATGGACAAAGACCTAAAATTCTCCCTGAAATACACTCTTAAGCCCCAAATCTTGGCCCACCTTACACTTAGTCCATTCCTATTATTTTTTACTCCTAAGTACTCTTGGTTAATATATTTTAATTTGGTAATTAAAATTCTGAATGTTACAATAATATTTGGAGAATGATAGTTAGATCCCGATAATTTTTTTAAAATGAGTTTATACATTAACTTAAATAATTACAACTTTACCAGTTTTAATTGTAAATAAGATATTTAAATTTTAAATGCAACTCATAGATATATAGATCTATATATATATACACATACATACATACATGAACTCCTAGATATACATGAACTCCTATTTAGTTGATTTATATTGAAGTACTAGCATTGCCTGTAGACCGTAATTACATTGTGCATAGTTTCTTTTTTCCCTCCTCCTTGCCTATTTAGTTGGTTTAGCATAAAACTTCATATAATTTCGTTTAAGTTCATATAAAGTGATTATGAAGCTCATATTATCCTGACCAAGCAAGTATATTATATTAGCCTGCCTTTTAAAAGAAAGGGTTGAGATTTTTCCAACCCAACCAACTATTTTTTTTCATAGCTTGTTGTCTCTAAGATTTGATTTTTTTTCCCCTACAATTATGTACTTTGAAAATCATATTTGATTATTAATTTTAGAAATGATGAAACGTTTAATTCTTTAAATCTGTCTTAGTTATTTATTTGATCCCGTGAGTTTAGTTTTTTATCAATTTGATCACTCATGTTTTCCTACATTATTAAGTGAGTCCTTTAAAAACAAATTAATGTGTAAAGTATATTAATAACTTGACATGTATATATAGTTAAATAAGAAAAAAAATTAACTTTCCAATTAGTTTATTTTTTATTTATATAAGCTCTTACCTTGCATTTTGTTCTCTTGTTTTTTAAACATTTCAGAGTCTTTTTTTTCCCTACTTAAATAATTATATTTATTTTCAAGTTCATTAATTTGTATCATTGTCATTAATATTATGTTTTCATGGTAGTAAATTTTAGTAGTATAATCTCCTTCTTAAACAATGAGGACAATTAATTATTTAAAGTAAACTTGAAGGACTAAATTGATAAAAGTTAAATGTGAAAACCAAATCGAATAACTAATATAACATAATAAATTACAAATTACATTATCTGTTTAATTTTAAATTGTTTGGAACTCATGTAATTAATTTGAGTTGTAAAATCCTAATTATGTTGAAGAATATAAGTGTAAAATCTAATCTTTTTTTTTTTGCATACGCTATCCTAAGATATACCTTTTTGTATATATTAGGGGTATTCACAGGACAAGATTGAGACACGTCCCGTATTCCATCATGAAAAATGATCGAAATTTAAATTTTGTCTCATATCTCATTTTGTCCCAAAAACCATCCCATCTCAGTAGGAGTTGAGATGGGACTGAGATATCTTGATAATCACCCTTATTTCTCTATCTACCCTTGTATTTTCAAATGCTTATTATAATCATACTTCTATATATATGATTAATCAATTGAGTTTCAAAACATAAACAGATAAATATAAGGACATGAATCACCCTAATACAAGAGCTCTTTGCACGTGCAGGCTATTTGGTTAGAGCTTGTTATAAACTCACATTGTAATAAGTAACAACAAGATGTAGACTTAAAAAATAAACTTATTAGATTACTTGAATGGCAGCAATTTGAGTTTGCATTTTTAATTCCTCAAATCAATATTAATAATTATAAGAAAACATTTCACAACTTGCTTGGCTAGATTGAGTATCTTATAAAAATGTAAAATTAAATAAAGTAAAGATAAACAAAAAAATATAAACAAATAAACAATAAAAATAACATAATAATTAATATATACAACAAAAGAAATATATATATATATATATATATAAATGCGATGAGTCATCCCGAAGGGTATCCTGAGTCCCTTCTCTTCCTATCCCCTTTTTTGTCTTGTTCTGCAAACATTCCATATTTTTTTTTTTGGCCAGATAATACTATCCCGACATGACCAAGACAGGTACAAGTTGATCTAGATAAATACAACCCTGAATACCCTAATATATATACACCTTTCGGTCCAAAGCATAAACAGTTCCTAATAGTTAATTTTAGTTTAAAATATGAACAACCTAATATATGTAAAAATGTTTTCTCTATTTTACCCTTTATATTTATTAATCTACATATTTATATAAATATATTTCTCATTCATTATAGAGTACATTAATAATTGAGATTAGAAATAAAAAATAATATATATTTTTATAAAAATAAAAAAATTATTGATATACGATTTAAAAAAATAGTTATATTTTGGAGCATGGGAGTATTTGTTTTTAAATTTTTTAATTATTTTTTTATTTGGTGATGAATGAATTGCTCATTACTTCCACGTCACTCTACTAGGTTCCTCCTTCGTCGAAGACTCGAAGCTCTGCGTTAATCTAATGATCCGTACTTCTTCCCCACCACAGCGAAGCCTCAAGCGACGTCGTTTCCTCGCCAATCCTTCTCATTTCAATGCCCTCTACCTATTGCTTCTTTCCTTGCTCTTCCACTCTTCTGCGGTCAAGTGAACGACGGTGAGTTTTTTGTTCCTTTTCTTTTCTTTTTTTCTTTTTTTCACCGAAATCGGTTCAGATTTTCAGTATAAATTACATACCTTGCGACAATTAGTGGTCAAAGCTTTTTAGTTATTGCTCGGCGTTATATTTATCTCTTTACCTGTTGCTTTTCCTTCAATACTTTTCCTTCGATTGATATGGTTATACCAGTTGCAGCAACTTGAAGTGGAATGTTCAATAAAATTACGTATGTGTTGATAATTGATTAGATCAATTCTCTGTATTCTTTGTGGCGTCTAATTTGCAAATTCTCTCTTTAGTTCAAGTGCGGGCGACGGTCTTTGATTTGGGTGGGGATAATATCTGGCTCAGATCCTTTCTGGGAGAAAAATGAGAAGACGCGTTGTGTATGCATGGTTAGTAGCTATTGTATGCTTCATAGTGCTGATGATCGTGACCCCAACAATTCCTCAATCTCAAGAATACCATGATTTTGCTGACAAACGCAAATTCTTTGGTAGGCCCTTTTTGTTATGGTTCCATTGTGCTTTATACTTATGGCTATAATTGTTTATTGGACTACTTGTTACTCTTTGAATTTGTGCTTGATGGGACACATTTAGTATTTAAACTTGTAATTGGATATCTTTTAAAGGAATTGATATGTACTGCGTGCTAGGTTTTCCTCACTCCACTTTGATCCAATTTGGAAGTGAAAGTCTTTTTCATTATGTTTCAGGCATTCCTAATGCACTTAATGTGATTTCAAATTTTCCATTCCTTGTTATTGGTCTCATTGGGCTTATACTTTGCTATCGTGGATACTACATGTTCAGGTATTTTATTCATCTGTTGATTTCTTAGTAACATGCTGTAAAGAAAATCCTTTAAACATCTTTTTTTCCCCTGTTGTCAATGATATAATACATGTGCCAAAAGTTTGCAAGGTGAATTATGGGGTTGGACATGCTTTTATGTTGGTGTGGCTGCGGTTGCAATTGGATCTTCATACTATCATCTCAAACCAGATGATGCTCGCCTTGTGTGGGATAGGTTACCAGTGAGTTGCTATTATGAGACGCAGAAATCCATTTCCTCATTTTTTTTCGTCTCATGATATATTATTGCTGATTCTGTAACTGCTTTTTGTTGCAGATGACTGTTGCATTCACATCAATAATGGCAATATTCATCATAGAAAGGATTGATGAGAAGAAGGGAATGCTTTCAATTGTACCTCTAATTTTGGCGGGTATAATAAGCATAGTGTATTGGAGGCAAGCCTGCTACCTTATCATCATCATCTGTTTTTTTAGACAATTTCTAGTGCTTTTCAAAGACAATGATCTTATTGTTATTCTATCTTGTTTTTTGAAGCCTTCTTTTATAAGTGAGAGCATTTGTTCTTTACTTCTTTTCATGGATAAAACTACTTGTTAATTCTGAAAAATATAATTGTTCTTTTCCCCCCCTTTCCCTGTTTATCATGAAGGTTCTTTGATGACCTGCGTCCATATGCTGTTGTCCAATTCTTACCATGCATTCTGATTCCCCTTATGGCTATTTTGTTGCCTCCAATGTACACGCATTCAACTTTTTGGCTCTGGGCAGCAGGTTTGGATTTTTCATGTAAATAAATACTAATTCAATTTTATATTAGATGCCGTACTCAGTTTCAATAAAACCTTTGCAGGATTTTATCTCTTAGCTAAGGTCCTAGAGGCTGCTGATAAAGTGGTTTATGAATGGACTCATCATATTGTCAGTGGTCATACGCTTAAGCATTTATCTGCAGCATTGGTTCCTGTCTTCTTAACACTTATGCTTGCAAAGAGGGTTATTGACAATGAGAGGTATTTTCCATTATGTCTCTAACACACTTCTGATTGATTGATTTCATTAATCTGACAATTTGAATTATGTTCTAGAGTATGGCCTCCAATTGAACTGTGGAAATTAGTGAGATACAGTCAACTCAAAATGAGTTGGCATGAGATTAGGATCTAGGATATGGAGCAACACTTGCATATGCTATGACTGGACCCAACTTTCTGCCTACCTATTAAGATGTAAAATGGATCTCATAAAGGACCCCCCCAAAAAAAAAAGGAGCAAAACATTATCAAATTTTGAAGAGAAAAGGAAGCTGAAAACAACACAGCACCATATTCTTCAAGGATAGAACTTATATCTGGTTTCTTGGTTAGGTGTTTACTGTAAAATACAATAAAATAACAGATAGAAAAACTCATTTGAAAGAAACAATCATGTGGCACTGAGTTTTAAACAATACATATTTGTCATGTATTTCTTAAACAAGCTGATAAGACTCAAGAAACTGTACCTAACAAAATTTTGTCCTTTTTCTTGATTCCAACATCTTTCTTGTAGAATTTTGTAAATTAAATCATTTTTGCAGTATTCATTCCCTTGATGCAGTTTTATGGTTTTGGCTGGTTAGTATTCATCGTTTTGCTTTGCACATGTTATTCTACTTGGCTAAGCTAAGAATTGATGTGTTTTAACATCATTTGAATTATCAATGATATGCTGCAGCGCTACTTTGATTACTTCATGAAAAATCTTCCCTTGCTAACCCAATAACTAAAAAACTGTAATTTGTGTTGACTAAATATGAAAAAGTAATCAATGAAAAATAGGCCGTGAATGAAGAAGTTGGCCCTTTACAATTTACTGTGTTTTGGAGACCTTGTTTGCATTAGAGAAGTTCTTTGATACAATGCATTAGAGAAGTTATTATGAGACCTGATTTACAAAAACTCACAAGACTAAATTAACCATTAACATATGAATGTAGACATGTTATAAGTGGGGTGCAATTGTGGTCAAAAGTTTATTAATATGTTTACATTATGATAGAGCTGCTGAATTGCTAAGGCATATAAGAGCAAATTACAAAGAAAATGATAGATGAGGGCATAACTGCTGGGTCAAAGGCTTATATAATGGGTCTGGGCTAAAAGGAAAAGGAAGTGACATAGGAGAAGGGAATAGGTGCAGCTAGGGGTAGGGGCAGTTACATTGTAACTTTTTGGGTTTAAAGCTCTTGGCAGCAGAGAGAGGGAGTTTAATCTTTTGGTGAGTGAAGTGTGTTGGGAGTGTATTGGCCTCTCGGAAGTCCAGTGTGTTGGGGTGGAGGAAGACCATCTTCATTATTTTCTCTTTATATTTATTTTAATGTGTGTGAATAAGTGGCTTATGTTCTAGGTTGTTGCTCTTTGGTGTGTATTTTGTACTGATCCTTTCCTTGTAACTATATTCAGTTTAGTGTGTGGGTGTATGAAGGAGATGGGGTTAGCTTGAATCATTACTTCCCTTGTAATTCACTTTATTACTCAGCAATAGTATATTCAGTTCCATTTGAAGTGTGTTTTCTGGTTTTTGCTTGTTTTAAGCTTATTAGAATAGAGGGTTCCATCACATTACTTGTCTATTAATTTACTCAAACTTTCCTTTGCATTATCCTGTAACTGTGATGTATCATAATCTTTCTGTCACTTGATTGCTACGTGCTGGTGTGCTGCTTGTAGACAAGCTCTGTTTAAAGTGTGGATGGTTTACTGGAGGAAGGTCAAAGAAAGAAACCATGAGAACCGCACTTGCTCATATGCGGTTGTGCAGGCTGTGGAATCTGATCAGTAGTGTCATCTATACACTTTCTTGCAGAAAAGGAAGATGAGATTATACTGAATTACTTATATAACAAGGTCATTTGTCTTACAGCTGAATGTGGACCCATTGTATTTTTTCTCTGGGACCTAAAATTTAGACCCATTAGAACAAACCACATCTAGTTAATTTTGATGTTATATAATTCAATAGATTTAGCTTGTGGATTATGTACAGTTTCTGATATCTAATGTATAGTGCTAATCATTAATGTTGCTAAATGTGGACATACTTTAGGTATTTGATTGCCATTCAAACCCCTTTGATGCAATATAAATAGAAAAAAATTTTAAGAGAAGAGCCACTTGTTATTACAGGAGAGACTCATGTGGTGCAATAGAATTAAAGCTTTAATAGATAAATCATGCCAGCCAACACAATGACTTCCTAGCTATTAAATAATTTTCATTTACCAATTTTTTTCCTTAATTACTAATTACTATAGCAACCATAACCATTAATTAATTTTACATTCCTGTGTTTAATTTACCTCTGGAATTCTTCGAATCTGGCCACTGGCCATTGCAACTGTTAATTTTTCGAAAAAAGTCATTTCGCTTTCCAGAAAACAAAGTCTTTGATAAAGCATTGGGAAAATGACAACTAAGGATCCTTTGAGAATATTAATTTCAGTTAAGGGTTATAACATTTTAAAATTTCATTTAAGGATCATGGTCTTTAATTGGGATAAAAAAATATAATTTGTGAGGTGAAATTTACTAATGCCACTTGAGAATTTACTAACTCAATTTAAAAAAATTACCAACGTACATTGTGAAAATATAAAATTTTATTTGAGAATTGATTGTTTAATAAAAAGCGCCCTTTAAAAATTCTCTAACTCGACTTGAAAAAATTTTTAATGTATATTGTGAAAACATGAAATCTCATTTGGGAATCGATTATTTAACAAAAAACCCTAATTTGTACAACTAACTTTTTGTTAAACAATCAATTCTCAAGTAGGTTTTATTTTTTCACAACATATGTTAAAAAATTTTGCAAGTTTGGTTAATGAATTTTCAAGTGACACTTTTTGTTAAACAATCAATTTTCAAATGGATTTCATATTTTTATAATATATGTTAGAAATTTTTTTAAATCGGATAAATGAATTTCTACGTAAAATTTCATATTTTCACAATATACATTAACAATTTTTTTAAGTTTGATTAGTGAATCTTCAAGTGGCATTAGTGAATTTTATCTCACAAACTACATTTTTGTATTTCAATTAAGGCTCCTTACATGAGATTTTAAAATGTTATGATCTTTAATTGGGATTAATGTTCTCGGAGGGTCCTTAATGGTTATTTCTCCTTAAACATTTGGTGAAGAGGTATACTATTTCCTTAGTGGAAACTTAAGTGTCAAAGGATTTGTTTGCTGCCAAATATGCGCTAACAAGATTTCTAAAACCCTAGAAGACTCGAAAAATAATGGACATAACTTGATAGATTAAGGCATGAGGGACTTGCCTGAGGTAGGATGATACTACCTTCAGATGCTGGAAGCATGTGATTCATGTGGCGATCTCTTTTTATCCGAAATGGGGATCATGGAGATAAGAGCAAGCAAACTCTGAGGAATGAAAGTGGGAAATAATTTGTTCTAATTTGTTTGACTCTGGTTGCATGTTAGCTTGAAAATACATCTTTTGTGTGAATAAACAACTCCTAAACCAAGTGCGACATGGATGATAGTGGCTCAGGCCCTTTGAATATTATTCCAGAATTTAATTCCTAAAAATGTGTATGGATAGCATCATTTGAAAGAGAATAATTTCTTAAATAATTTTTAAATTTTTTGAGAAATTATTCTCACAACTGATGATTGTAGGGATATTTTAGAGGGAAAAAAATCCTAATTCATGAGATATCAATGAAACTATTGCGTTGTATCGAGAATATCAAATAATTTGTGACTGCTCTAACTAAGAAATTCAGAAGTAGAGAACAATAATGATAACATTGAAGCCCTGGGGTAGACAATATTCAAAATGCCAATAAATTAAAAATATTTTATATCTTTTTTTGACCCCTAGAATGCCTCTGCCCTCTGATTCCAAATATAGAAGTTAATTAACCAATTTATATTTATATTTAAGATTGGAAAAATATTTTTTTTTAAATGGATTGGAGCAATATATCTACGTCATACAGTTGCACCATCGTCTTAAAATATATTCAAGTCCCCCGTTTTCAAAACAGCTTGGTTAAAAAAAAAAAATCCAAAATAGCCAATTTATTCAAAATCAGTGCCAAGACATTGTAAAATCTTAATAAAAGACCAAGGCTTTTAAATTGTTCAGAAATTAAAAGTGATATTATTAAATTACTCTGCAACTTACAGAAGCTTGCAATTTACCTTCTTATATTTGTTACTCTCTCCGTTTTCAGGTATAACCAAAATTTCCAAATTGCTGTTGATAAAATCATAATTTATTTTCATGAGACAAATTCAATTTTTTCTCATGTTAAAAATTAATTATAAGAATATTTTAGTCCAAAAATTTTAATTTTAAATATAATTTTTATGATTAATCAAATTTTTTAAATTGTGAGTTGGTTAAAATTTATTTATGTAAAAAAATTGAAGGACTACTTATGAAATATTCTCTTCATTTTTTTATTACAGGAGAAATGGTCAAATATCTTGTCATTTTTTATAGAGTTAAATGACAATTTGGATCATAAACTATAGGCTTAATGGTAATTTAAATTTTAAATTTATATTCGATATATTTTAAACTCTGAATAATTAAATTTAAAATAATCTCACCCTAATGTTAATTTAAAATTAACGTTCTTACCCATCATTTTTTGCTTTTTCTTGTCTCTTGCAGTGTTTCACCCCCCCCTCTCCCCTTCATTAAAATTCTTTCAACCAAGCATAGCATAATGATAAATTAATAAAAAATTATTTACCTAAATAGCTTACTTTCAAAAATATTTTCTTACATATTATAAATTTAGAACTTGATTTATGTCAAACTGAGTTCCAATTTTATTTTTCATATTGAAGTGCAATATTCTGTGAAATAGTGTTTTGTACTTATATAAAAAAAATAAAAATAAAGTCTAGGCAAAGCTTGGCATGCTACCAGTCATGCCATCTCATGTAATTCTCTCATCCACTTCTAGCACCCCACTTCCTCTCTCCCTCCATCCTTTCCAATCTCCAGTCCCCATACGTGTGTGACATGTACACACACACACACTCTTCAATTTTTCTTATAAAATATTTTTAATTGTTTCACATATCTTAAAAAAAATTATTATTTTTTGATATTATAAAAAAGTGAAATATATTTTTATTTTATCTTTAATTTTAAATAATGACACAATTATATTAAATACCTTCATACTAATTAAGAAGGGGTAAAATTTAAAAAAAATAATTTAATTATTATAAAGTGTTGTATATTTTGAATTAAAAATTACTTTTAAAAAGTATTTTATAAATAAAAATGTAAGGAGTATATCAATATATTATGTGTTATCCGTGGCAGTGTTGCCTTTTTTATTTCCAGCGTGTGTGTGTGTTTTGCCCAAGAGATCCCAACATATAATTGGATATCTATGTGTAATATAAATAATATGTTATGTATTAAAAAATAATATATTATTTTATTAATTATAATTATAATAATTACATACTTCAAAAAATTATGCAAATTATAAAATAACTATATAATAAATAACAACATAAAATTGTATAAATTTAAATCATAATATATAATTTTAGAGTTAAAGATCATTTTTTCCTCTCAAAGTTTTTTTAGTTTAGCAATATTGGGCACCATATAAGGTGGAACAATATCATTCCTAAACAACTTTTTTTAAAAGCAAAATCCTTATTTTCCCAAAAACATGTTATCTTTTTCATTATCTACTAATGTAAAAATAAAATAATTGTTACTGTACGTGAGTCTCACAGCTATTCCATATTAATAGATGACAAAAAATAATAATAAATCTCTAATTGATGTTAACTTTGACTGTTACCAATATATTTTAACAAAAAATATGCCCACAAATAGCTTCATCTATCATATGAGATTATTTTCAAAAGCTCAAAATAACTTCTTAAAATAATCAAATTTATGCTTTTTTAATATTTTGATTATTTTTAAAAATTTAAATAAACATAATATAGATTTTCCCCCCAAAAAAATAAGTGATTCTTTCATTTAAGAAATAAAACTAAAACAAGCAGGCCCAGTGAAGAAGTAGAAAGAGGAAAGCCAACTCATAATCTATATAAATAATAATTCATCAATTTCTAATTATAAATTTTTTTATGTAATTTACACTTGCTATGAAAGCAATTAAAATTAATTAGCATACAAAATTAATTTTCATGTAAATATTGACAATTTAAATATTATAAAAATAATAAATATAAATTCAAATTCGTTTATAATTGACAAAATTATAGATTATGATATGAAATAATTTAATTTTATTTTTTTTACTTATTTTATAATATAAAATAATTAATTTACAATTAACATAATTATAAGTATAAAATTTATATCATACTTATGCTTTTTTGCCCAAATTATTCTACTTCTATTACTTTATAATTATAAACCCATGTATATACCGTGCATGGGAGAAGGGGATTAGGGGAGCGTAGAGCATAAGAGTGTTTATAGGCTCAATTTGATTTAGTTTTAGCCAAAAATCAAACCGAATAGAATCATTCAATTTACTCATAATTGGGACATGATCAGTTTTTATGGAACTCGATTTGGTTCGATTTAATTTTTGATTCAGTTCAGTTTGATTAAAGTCTCGATCGAGTTTCAATACACTTATTTAATTTTTTTTTCTTTTTTTCCATCTTCATATTGGTGCTATGTATTAAAATTAAATGTAATTTTTTTTGGCTCCTTTTTTTCCATAAATAGAGGTATAAAAATATAATAAAATTTTAATGTAATAATAATAATTAATCATAAAAATTGATATAAGTTTTTAAGATTAAAATTATTTAATATTATGCATTTCCATTCAAGTTCTTTGAAAATGTTTATCTATATATTTATATTTTAATAAATAATGAAAAATTTATTATATAAAATTCAAAACAAAATATTTTTTGTACATAAATTGAATATTGAGGCTTTCAAGTTGTAAATAATTAAATAATGGTCATAACATCATTATTATAATTATTTAATATTATACATTTTCATTCAAGTCATTTAAAAATGTTTATCTATTACTGTAAAAAATTTAAAACAAAATGCTTCTTGTAGATAAATGATTATATATTTAATAAATAAATAAGTAATATTTTTTAATCAAATTTGGCTCAATTTGGTTCGGTTTCTTATACTCAAAACCGAACTTGAACCAAACTAATCGATTCTCATATCATAAAAATCAAAGCAGGCTTGATTGTTGTTCGATTTTAATTTATTTCTTTTGATTTGAATTAGTTTGGATTGGTCCTTTCGATTTAGATCAATTTTAAACATCCTTAATAAAGAGAGAGAGGCAGACGAAAATTGGGTAAGAGAGCCTCTTGTGATGAGAGGCTAATGACAAGTATAGCTTATCAAGCTATATTTAAAGTTTTAAAATATATATATATATATATATATATATATGAAAGTATTGGACTCGAGTTGGCAGAGATCAAGTTCTATGTTCCAATATTAAAGAAAAAAAGATTGAAACTCGGTTTGATATAAACTCAATTCTAAATTTATAGTTTGTGGAAAACTGTTTTTAAAAGTGTAGTATCTCGATAAATAATTTTTAACTTTTGGTAATATTGGAGCCAATTTGCTACTTTTGACGAAGCGATCATGGATCCATGATTTATCCATATAAAAAAACACATTTAAGTCAATTATATTGCTAAAAGGAACTATCGAGGTGGTGAGAAAATGGGCATAGACCTGGAAATTGACCACAACACTGTGCAGAGGCTCTACGGACTCAAAATGACTGGAAAACAAATACACACACACTTATATATTACTTTTACTTATTATTCATACACTTAATTTATTATAATATTATATGATTTAATTCGGTTTTTATTACAAAACTCACGGCTCTCCCTCAATCTTACGACACTCTCACCGTGCCGTCGCCACTCCACATTACAGTCGACGACCTTACCCTCGACACTCAACTTCACACGTAGGCTCACCGTCACATAAGTTGCTTCTCCAACACTAGCGCTCGTGTTCTACGTTGACTGCTCACTTTTCTCTTCCCTTTTGTTGCAGCTGCTATTCGAGTTTTCTACTCTAATTTTATATTTTACTCCATTCGTCCATAAGAGGTTTTTTAATTTTTTTTAAATATAAGAGATTGTTAGTGTATATTTTTAATGAATAGATTATTATATCTTTATTAAATTAAAAGGAGAAAAAATATAAGTAATTTTTTTATTCTTAAATATAAAATATTGTTAGCATTTTTTTAATGGATGGACCATTATACCCTCATTAAATTAGAAAGAGAAAAAAATATAAGTACTCTCATTAATTTACTTTAAAAAATTTATTTTTTATTTACAATAATTAAAGGTAAAATTGAAATATTAGTATGCTATAATTAGATAATTAAATTTTATTAATTTATATGATTTAATTAAAAATATTTTATATACAGTGACAAAAGGAGTATAGAGGAAAGCTAGAGGCATGCGGCTTTCACAGGAAGTTGATCCTTGTTTTTTAAAGGGGGGCGGGGGGAGAGGAGAAGGCATGTAGTGAAAAAGTGAGAGACACAGGAGAAAGCAAAAAACAAGGAAAAATAGTAATTAAGGATATTTATATAAAATTTATATTAATTAAAAATAAATTGTCACAATTTGAATGAAAGATAAGCCCAAATAAACTATTATTAATTAATAAATATTTATTAATAAAAAATTAATTTAAATTAAAAAATATTTATTCAAATTTTAATAATAATTAATTTTTAATTAATATGAATTTCATATAGAAATCCTTAATTATTATTTTTTCAAAAAACAATGGCCCCATGCATGAAAATGATGAACATTAATTTTGAATTAATGGTGAGGTGAAATTATTTTAAATTTAACTATTTAAAATTTAAAATATATTAAATACAAATTTAAGACTCAAATGACGTATGAAATGATAATTTGGTGTCCAAATTACCATTTAACTTTTTTCATAAACAAAATTATAAAATTCAAGAAATATTTATCACATTTCTTTTAAATTGTGCCTTATAAAATCAGAATTGTGCCTTATAAAGATTAATTACAATAATATTTTAGTCTAGATTTTTAAATTTAAAATGTAATTATTTTAAGGAAGTTTCTTACAGTAATCTTGAATTATTTTAAGGTTGTTAAATTAAAGAAAAATAAATTGCAAATTTTGTGCTCATTCAGTTATTCTATGCGTCAGTGCGAGTGCGAGTGCGAGTGTTGAGGCAGTACCAAATACCAGATGAATTCCTTGACAGCTTGCTTCACTCATCCCAGCTCCAATTTTTTTCCATGGCTTCCCTCCCTATGTTCCAGGTCTTCGCTCCCCCAAAACGGTGCGTTTTGTTTGCAGAAGCACGCGACCCCCATGAATAAACCATTCTTTTCATCCAATTTCATCTGTAGTAAACTTCACCCTGTTCAAGCTTCGTCTTTTGACCTCTCCCCTCCTCCCATCGACCATGATTTTCTGGTGATTCGCTTTATCCTCCATCAAAAATAGTATGTGATACTACCAAAGGGCTAGTTTTTATGTTTCTGAAGTTCTTGTTTGATTGATTCTTTGCAGGAAACTGCGAAAACTGCAGGGGCTGAGGTTTCAGACGAAGGGATAATTGAAACATTTCATAATGATGATGAAGCACTTGATGCAGTGGACAATGGAGCTGTGGTGCGTACCTTATTTTGTTTGGTATTTAATGTTCATTTTCTTCTCACCCCACTTCAGTCATCTGCTGACACTTTGCATACTGCTCCATGGAAGTTTTGTAAGAGCTAATTCAAATTTGGAAGTCAAATATTTTTGTGCATGTTCATCAATTTATCTTTCTGTACTATAATACCTTTTTGGTGGCTTAATTTAGTTCTCCATGGCATCTAATGACGTAGGTTGTGGATCTTTCGCACTTTGGCCGGATAAGAGGTACATACTTTTTCAGTGCTTTGCATTATTATTTGACCATCTTACTTTAACTCCCACCGCATTATATTTTCATATTTTAAAAAATTACTGAATTTTTTCTATCATATTGGGATTTCTGTGATTAAAATTAAAGTTGTTGCAAAGTTGTGCAAGGAACTGCACGGAAAAACAATTTTGCAATCTCCTTCTATCTAATTTAATTTAGGCCTTCTAGTTAGTCTTTGAGATTTAAAAATTTACGTAGTTTGAGCATTTTGCTTTCATTTCATCTATAGGACATTGGTGTCTTAGTATTTCCAAGAGAAATCGCTAGCTACAAATATGACGTCAAGAATAATGTGTAAAAGTGCTGATGTTTTATAAGAACGCAGTCTACGTTTTTAATCCTTGTTCACTATTCTTTATGTACTTAATTTCTTTGTCTCCTGTGTGACAAGAGCCTGATTGTTCAAGTAAAACACATATCTTTTACTTGCCCAGAAGATGAATAATAATTTGTCCTTGTACCACCTTGTTATCATTTGCAGTCAAATGCAGCATATGAAGTTTCAATATTGTTCCATGTGTCCCTTACAATCAGATGGTGATTTTGGTCCAAAGAATATAATTGGAGGGTGATTTTTCATGCCAGGGATCACTCAATAAAAAAATTTAAGTTGGTTGTTGAAAGAACAAGAATGGTTTTACTAATAACTTCTGGCCTGCCATCTTACATGAAAGTATTTTGGGCATGAAGTGTGGACATAGCACAAACACACCTTAACTTGAGCCAGAATTTAATTTTATTTTAGGACAAGGTGGGCAATAAAGATCAAATCTTTGTTTGCTTGATCATTTGGACCTGATAGCATGCCAAGGAGTAAGCTTATGCCATTAAATCAACGCTTAGAGTTGGTTTTGCTGATAATATTTTCAACATTTGAGTTATCTTTATGTCAAGTGAGCAATAGGTGGTGGTTATCTCGTACCAATCGCTTACCCTTTTTTCTTTGTTCACATGTAATGAAGTCAGTGGAGAGGACCGCATCCAGTTCCTTCATAACCAGAGTACAGCAAACTTTGAATGTCTACAGCCAGGACAAGTATGCATTGGAAGATAGTAGTATTGTTGAATCGCCTTTATAGATCATTTGCCAGTTCTTGTAAATTTATTCTTATATTTAATATTATAATACAGGCTTAAGTAATAGGATTTCTATCTGAAATCCCTAGGGATGTGACACTGTTTTTGTAACACCAACAGCTCGAACAATAGATATCGCGCATGCATGGGTCATGGTAATTTTGTCCTTTCCCTCCCTCTCTTTAACTTCATTGGGTTGTAGTCTTCTCTTCAGTATCATATTTTATTTTTCTAATAACTGATCATCTTCTCTTGACGCTTTGACAGAAAAATGCAGTCACATTAGTGGTTTCACCGGTGACCTGTAGGATCATTACTGAAATGCTGAACAAGTAAGTTTACCCTTTTGAGTTTGCACTGAATAAAAGGAAAAAAGAAGAAATGGGGGGTTTGGAAGAGGCAAAAACATAGTTATCTGTGCTGCTGATTCATATTATCCTATAATAGAACATGCATGATTGTAATGGCTTTTAGGTACATATTCTTTGCCGATGAGGTAGAGATGCAAGACATCACCAAGCAGACTAGCTTTTTTGTTTTGGTGGGACCCAATAGTAATCGAGTAAGAAGCTTTTTCCATTGTACCAATGCAATATATATGATTTAGACAGATTGAGTTGGTGTATTTCAATACGATGATATGAACAGGTGATGGAGAAATTGAACCTTGGGGATGTTGTTGGAAAACCGTATGGCACACATCAACATTTCAGTGTAAGCTTGATTAATCGTGTTTATTAATTATTAATCTTTTTTCTTATCATCAATTAGCCCCTACAAGATAAAATTAAATGTGTCATATGTTTGATGAATGACTGCACATTTATGTGCTTTTAAATTTCAATATCAGTTTTATATTTTGACAAAAAAGAAAAAAGTTATATGTCTTGTTTTTTTCTCTGAGAAAGTGGAGGCTCGTAGCATGATTCTTCTTATATGTTTACTAGTGTTATGTGCTTCATGTTGAGCTTCTTCCCTATGTATATCACTCTTCCCCTGTCTCTTTCTCTCACTCTCTGTGTGTGTCTAACAAATCATAATAACTTACCATATGCGGGCCTTAGAGTTGGGTTAATGTTCATAGTGCTTGGTAGGATGTTTTACCCTAGTTTCCTTGCCCATGAATAAGATGGTTCAGGAGGTTGACTAGTTAATTCAGTGCTCCATGAATTTCTCTGCCTACTTTCTATAGACAACAAAAAAGTTCTTGTCATATCTTTTACCTTAGCACCAAACTTTAAAAGTTAAATGATTTAAATTCACTTGGCTGACTTTTATTTGAAAAAGAGAAAATTTCAATGCTACCTAATATTTAGTATCTCTTCCAGTCTTCACCCCCTTTTCCCTCCCAAAAGGTCAGAAACCTATTTGTGACCCATGTAGTTTTTTAACCGAGCAGGTTGATGGGCTGCCTGTTACTATTGGAGTTGGAAATATCATTTCCGAAGGTGGTTTTTCACTGTTAATGTCTCCAGGTGCTGCTCCATCTGTCTGGAAAGCTATTCTTTCTCAAGGGACTATCCCAATGGGTTCTACTGCATGGGAAAAATTGCGGGTCATTCATGGTACTGAGTTGTTTAGATTATGTGTTTATTTTCATGGTACATGTTTAATAGTTATTCTTTACCCTTTGTCGAAAATTTATATAATCCATTCTATGAAATGGATATCAACGAACCTGGCAATAACTGGGTATGAACTGTTACTTCTATGGTGATTTCCTTCTGGAATTTTCTAATAATTTTCTTATAATAAATACAAAACACCAATGGTGATGGGCTTTTCTTGAGTTTCTTTTTTTAAAAAAAATTACTGTCGTCTCCTTTTTGTTTTAAGAATGTAAACGTTTTCTTGGAAATGAGGTTGTGTGAACTTGTTCAAATTTAACTTTTTCTACTAAAATGTCCTCTATCAACCTCAATAGATTTTTTTTTTAACTAAAATATCCTTTTACATATATTTTTATGGAGGGTATTGCAATAAAAAAATTATAATTAGACTGAAATTTATATTTTAAAAATAAAGAGGTTTATGTAATGTCAATAAAATTCATGGGGAGTCTGATTTTTCTTTTCTAACTAATAGTTTTACAAATGATGGCATCTACCCTTCCTAGAAAACTATTATGTGAAGGACAACAGCATCTTCTCATATTTATTTTGCCTCTCTTTTACTATAAAAATTTTAATTGTCACTTTTGTGCCTTTCTCTGATAGTATTTTAGCCAAAAGTTTAATATGAAACCATCCACGGAGGTTGTAGATGATGAACTGAATCACAATGATCCATGTTCATATTAAGTAGAAGATGAAGCAAGCATATAATGTTTGAATTGTGGTTGAATGGCTTATATCGTTTGGCTAATGAGACCCAAAGAAAAAGGATTGCTGAAACTAAATAGCTTGAAATGAAAGAACTTCAAATATTTTATAATTTGGCTATGCATCAATTTCTAGTTCAATTTATAATGATTTTTGTGCACTTACGATTGTAACTTGACTTCTCAGGAAGGCCAGCTCCTGGAATGGAGCTAACTAATGAATTCAATGTTCTGGAGGCTAACCTTTGGAACTCAATCTCTCTTAACAAGGGTAACTATCATGTTGTCATAATCCGTCTTCTTAGAATGTCAAGACTTGCTGGATAGCTGGCCTGATTTTAGTTTTCTCAGGCTGTTACAAGGGACAGGAGACTATATCTAGACTGATAACTTATAATGGACTCAAGCAGAGATTATGGGGAATTCATCTTTCAGCAGCTGCAGAACCGGGCAGCATCATTACAATTGATGGCAAAAAGGTTGCTATAAGTTTGTTGTTAGCAGAGTTTTTTTTTTTTTTTTCTATCCAAAGAAAATAGAAGATGCACATAATTTTTCCCCCAAACCACCTTGCGTCTTGATAATTGAGAAAACAGAATGGAAATTGTTGGCATAGTAGTTATCCGTTGAATGTGAAGAGCGCTGAGATGTCATGAAAATTCTAGTTCTATTTGTTGACATTTTCCAAATTTTTTGTAATGAAACTTATCACAGGACAGAGATGAATAAATAATAGCAATGACTTGTGGACCAGAAACTCAAATGTCTGATGGCTGCATCCTGTGACCCTGTTTTCTTCCCCTGAATGGGTTTAGAAGTAAACTGATGATTGTTGAATTTTGTGCAGGTTGGGAAGTTGACAAGTTATACATCTGGAAGGAAGCAATCTGAACATTTTGGATTGGGTTACATTAAGAGGAATGCTGCTTCAGAGGGAGACAATGTAGTTGTTCAAGACAGCATCAATGGAATAGTGGTGGAAGTTCCTTTTCTTGCTATGCAGCGACCACTATCAGAAAGATCAAATTAAGATCCATATTTATTGAGAACATGCAAGATCCTTCATTCATCTGTAATATTCGAATTTTAAGGACGTCAGATGTACATGTTATTATTGAGTTTTTGAGTCTGTGATCTATTATAGATGTTGGGAGTGATAAAACTACATATATATATATATATATATAATTCCAGTAAATTCAAGAATTTGTTAGCTGAGCATTCTTTGGTGTTCTTGTTATGTTCTTGGGAGACTAGTGCAGCTAAACGGTAGTTCTGTGAAACATCAGATTGAGAACAAAATTATCTTATTCACAAATCTGTCCACCACTTATCAGTTACAATCTTGTAGAATACTAACAACTTCTTTCTTTTGTTCATCACTCAATGTCCTAGGGAAGTCGATGAGGAATTTGATGTGGAGGTTGCCTCTCCTCCCATTATGTTGTGGATCCGGCATGCCTTTACCCTGAAGGACCTTCACATATCCAGGGCATATGATGATATTCTCAAATGTCACATTCATGGTTTCCCCTTCAATCAGAGGAACTGGTATTAAGCAGCCGGTGAGTGCATTTACTAGGGGAATCTCAACACATACTTCCAAATTGTAGCCATCTCTTGTAAACAAAGGGTGTTCCTTTTCTTCAATTGAGAAGATTATATCAGCAGGGAGGTATCCAGGTTCCTCGTTACCCTTTTCCTCGAAGGTAATCTTTGTTCCTTCTCTCCATCCCGGCTTGACTTCAATCTGTAGTACCTCCTCCTCTTGGAGGATAACCCTGTTACAAAATTAAAATAAAAAATTTTAGGAAGGTCTCACTTATAGATCTTCCTTCGCATTGCATTTTTTTTTCCAAATTATCATTGCTTCTAATTACAATTTTGAAATTTCTACCTTTATCTAAAATGTATACGCCATTTCTGCATCAGGTAGCCCAATAGGCAAGCATCATGAATGTAAATACTTTGTACATGAAGAAATTACTAGGAAAAAGTAGTAAAGACCCTCCAACATAGGAGCATGTCAGAAATGAGTCTTTGCTTTCATATCTATTAATTGGTAGTTTAATCCACTAATTCTTTTTAATGACAAGACTTGGTAAAGTTTCTGAAATGTCTGCTATCCTTTTTTAGAATATAAACATGAAATGTGGATGATCTCTTTAAAAAGAATCAATGAGTCATGTGGCATGTTCTTATTGGAATATTTCATGAGGGGAAACATCCTGAGTTTTCTCTTTTCTGGCGAAAAAGATCCACCTAAGAATTTTGTATTTGTATAAGGCTATGTAACAGAAACATACCCAGGAGGCTTGATAACATCTCTGGTAATTTTGATCTTTTTGAGGCATCCAAAGTATAAATCTTCAAGTGTGCACTCCAACTTCTTCTCTATTGGCTGGGGTTTCCTTCGAACAGTGGATTGCGAGAATATGATGGGTGTTGTGGACCTCCGGCTTGTGTCTCTTGACAAAGAGGCTGCCGGGATGTCATTTGCTGACAGTCTATTGGTGCCAGCATCTCTTGATGATGGGGAGGCTGCAGAGGTCCAGCTTCGTATCTGAAGTTCAGATACGCTGTGTCTGGCTCTGCTTCTGTTTCTTGATAAGGATTCTGCAGGGCTTGAAGGTTCAATAATGGAGGTACCTCTTCTTCTGCTCACATTCCCCGATCTTTCTGATTCAGGGCAAAACTTGTACTCGCACTCCTTGATACAGAGTTAGGTGTTTTGCTTCGTCTGCTTGGATTTTTTGAAATATAACTTCTAGTTGGTGTTGGTGTTGGTGTTTTTGATCTTCTACTTGCATCTCTTGACAAAATTGCAGGACTTGTAAATAAATCATCATCACCACCCCCATAATGACGATTAATCCCTGAACCTGTAGGTGTTGCAGATGATTCCTACATCAATGACTTTATAGTCAGAAGAATCTCATAATACCATGCCAAGGATAAAGAAAAGAGAAACTGCTGGCAAGTGCAAAGGTTAAGCTATGTCAACTTTATGTGGGGAGAATGACAATTAGGTTTCGAGATATCAATTTATTGACATTTAGGTCCCAACAAATTTTTTAGAAAAATGATTTGCAAATATTGATTTAAACAGTTGCAAATAAAAATCTTAGTTACAAACCAAGTTATATTTGAAACATAAATGCTTGATTTGCAATTGAGACTCTTTAATTTTTAACCGTCTGAACTTTTTACATTCAAGTTTCAATTGATTTTACATAAAATTTTGGTAGGGACCTACTCGTGAATAAATTAACGTTCTGGAATCTACCTATTGTTCTCCCTGTCATTTCATTTTGGTGTTTTAATTTTTGTTATATATATTTATAAATCACAGAGCACCAAGATCAAGTCAGAAGTTGAAATTCATGGAAAAAATGTTAGATATATATTAGCCAAAATTTAAAGTATTTCTTATCTGAACATGAAAAAAATAAATGATCAATTTACAATAACAAGGCTCAAATCAAGCTTACCTCATAGTGTTTATCCTTGCGAGAACTTTTATCAGAGTGCTTTTTGGTTACAAGGTTTTTGTAAACCTTTCCTATTTCCTTCAAAGACACAGTCTTGGGAATCAAAAAGATGTTGTGAAGGTCCAACGTTGGTGTTCTTGGTGTCTTGAGAGGTTCTCCCATTTGACAAGCAAGAAAACGAAAGAAAATGAAGGAAAACTTGAGACCTGGAGAGAAAGGAAGGGAAAATAATAATCACCGATAAAGAAGTAATTTTGTATGGCAAGAAAAATCAGTTTTGAAATGTGAGATGAGGATTGGATCTTGGATTGATTTGTGATGTTCATAGTCGTTATTGTTTGCAGGGTTAATTATAACCTATAATCGATTTTATGGTTAGAATTGCGTTAATCTTTAACAAATCTCATTAAACCGTTTTCTAATTTAAAATTCTGGTTAATGTGAGATTTTTAGGGGAATTTCAGCTCATAAGAAATAAGTCAACGATAAATGAGTCTTCCTTTTAATTATTTCATATTACTTCATGTTTTATTATTGTATTTTTAAAGAATAATAATTATCTTTGTAAAATGCCATTTCAATTTTTAATTTATAATGAGGTTTCACATTTTTTTTCTAATTTAATCTTCACTTTTAAAATTTTGTTATCGGTGCGTTTTTTAAATCATCCATTTAGGTAACAAAAGGTGTTAACAAAGCTAATTTTGATTATATCAATAGAGATTGGGTTTATTAAAAGGAACTAATCATGAACAATATGAAGAATCAAGTTACGAATATTCGTTAAAAGATGTTTGCAAATGAAAAAGAAAATTTTACAGTTTTTAATTAAATCAAAATATATAAATTTTTTGATAAATTATTTATTCTATTCTCTCTCCAAGTAACAATGTAAGTTGTTGTTAACTAATTTATACTTCTAAAAAAGAGTTAGCTAATATCTTGATTTTTTAAAAATGTTTATATCTTTCTATTTTGGCCATTCAGTGGAATATTTGAACTATCCTAATTAATTGCATTAATTTCATTAAGCAAGGGTATAAATGTTAAAAAAATAAAATTTATCTAATACCTCATTTTATATTAAGGAATGCTTCTAAAAAATGATTTATATCATGCTTTGGAAGGAGTAACAAATTATTGTCATTAATATTATTGACACATTAAAATTCACTTGTCTTAATTTGACTAGATAAAAATATATTAAGTATATAAGATTAATTACTTAAATCTTGCCTTAAGAAGAAGAGGGAAGAGCTAATATTTGATTATGCTACATTGCTACTTGTTCTCAATGAAAAGATTCTCTATATTGTAAAAAATACTAGAAATATCTATAATATTTAAATTAAACTCAAGAAGTTTATATAATTTATCCAGAGCCAAAATTTTAGGTTAATTAAGCATCATCATGATATAATTAAAGAAAAACTTACATTAACAACCCCATGATCTTTTAGAGCATTTTATTTGGGCAAATAAACAATACAAAACATAGATGGAGACTATCAGCAAGAACTACTTAAAAAAACAGCATCTCATATAAATGAATCTTTTGTTTTTGTGGCTATAAAGAGAGTGATGGCATGGGACTAGGTTTCATTGCTCTTTTCCATCTTAGCATCACAGGTCGCTTCCTCTGCTTGACACTTGCTTCTTATATTGAATTCCACAGGCATTGCATAGAGTCTGTATCAAAAGAGGTTTAATTTTAAAAAAAATCATTAAAATTTGTTTAATTACAGATAAGACATTTAAATTTTAGGGCTAATGTGCAAAAATAGTCAGAAATTTTTTTTGCAGGAGTTTATGATATTCTTAAGTCAATAATGATGAATGAATACTTGTTAATTTTATAAAAGAGGTCCACATTTTGCAATATGTTAAGTTCTATCCTTAAAACTCAACGACTAATGTCAAGTTATTGTAACGAATTGGAAAAAGTTGGCTTCTTCTATAAAGTTAATGGATATTCATACACCGTTGACTTAAGGATACTAGAACCTATTAGAAAAAAAATGGAGTATTGCTGCCCCTTAACTCTAAGTTTTAAATGTAACTTTTAGATAATAACTGGAACTCCTATTTTATTTGTCTAAATTGATGCTTGTGACTCAGGACTTTATAAAAAAAATTTGGGGGTCTAATTCTTTCAATGTGTTTAATCTTTGAAAAATCAATTTGAAACCGAAACTATCTCAAAGAAAGTAAAGAGGGAAAAAAAAATAGGCAGATCATATCAAACAAATATTTTGATGTAAATTTAGGTTTTGATAATGTTAAGTTTGTTCATCATCACCTTTGGACCTAGAGGTCCCCTACGCCACATGGGAGTGTTTCTTGTCCGGCACTTGTAATTTGTGCAGATTCGCCGATCGTAGTTTGGCTCTGGCCGGCGAGGACGTAAGCTAGTCGCGGCACCGCTGGCCGAAGAGCTGTCATCACTGTGAACTCTCCTCTTATCATCAGAAGGATTGGAGGGTGTTTGCACCATTTTTGTTTCTGAGGAAGTTGTGATGTTCTTGAAGTTGGAAACAGCATTTTCTCCAGAAACATGAATTAGTGGAACCAATCCGTTTGAATTTCCATTCACTTCCTGCTTCATGCATGAAAAATTATTTTTCTTAACTTAAAATAGTGTGTGTTCTCATTTTGATATATATATATATATATATATATAGCATTTCACTAATTAATCAAAGATATGAAATTTCTTGAAGAAAATATATCACCTATGACAACCATGATTGAATTGAATCTGACACATGGCTATATCATTAATTGATCATGAAGTTATTTTACAGAATAATAACAACCCAATCAAGAAACAAGAAGGTTAATTTTTATTTTTGAATTGACATGTAAGCATGTTTTGATAAAAATCGAATTATGTGTTGCTTTTGCACAGTAACTCTCACACACGCTTGCGTGCATAGATATATATTTATTTATAACATCATTTAAAACTTTTATTCATGATTATTGAGATTATAATATCACTCTGGTTGTTGTATTAATTTTTTTTATGTGAAGACTTTATATTTTGGTGGAGATATTCTTAGTGATTATTTTGATAGACCATATTTTTGCCAAGTGTATAAATGAATGACTTGCTATGTTGGGATAATGGATTTGTTGATGTATTTGATGTAGTTAAATGAAAGGCTTGGTTTAAGGTATTTTTGGTTTGTTTTGGAATATTGAATTTTGCTAGTATGAGTTTGGTTTGGTTGGTTGTTGATTGAGGAGAAAATGAACTTTCCCTCACCAAATTAAAGCAAATTGTTTTCGTTGTGTGCCTTGAGTTGTCTTAATGTGGTTGTTTTGTATTGAAATTGATATCGTTAGTTACAAATGGGTGGACATAAGACCCTATGTTAGTAAGAGTAGAAGAGTAAAATATTAGAATTTAATTTAGTAGAATCAAAATATTAAAACCAATGAAGGTAGGAAAAGTAAAATTTAGATGCCTAACATATAATTTTTGCAAAAGCGAGAGGGGACAAGTGCTCACCCCTCACTAACATGTAGGTTCGCGGCTGGCTAGTTAGATAATGTTCAAAACTCTGTAAAAATTGAAATTGCTAGGTTTGGAGGTTTAGAGCACAATATAATTGGTCATATCCCAAGAAGTTCTCCCAAGATTCCTTCATAAGAAGACATTTATGCTATCTACACACTTGTAATAGGATATTAACTTTGGTGTTATGAAAGGGAATGAAGTATTAGAGATAAGAAAATTTCATATCTAATAATTAGAAAATAGATTAAAAATAGATAAAGTTTGAGATGTGTTGAACTAAATGACTTAAGTTATTTTAAAAACTAAATTATTTTCAAGCGTACTTGATATAAAAATTTGACATGAAGGACATTTGGCTAAGTAGAAAGACATGTCAAAACACCAAATATCAAGTTGTCTATCCATCTAGTTTGTTGTAACCATACTATTTATAGCATAATAAGTATGAGAAGTGAGTCTCATCACTAGCTTGTCCAAATCTCATAAGAATGATGCAATCCAATGGCAGATTCAAGGGGTAAAGTGATCATCAGAAAATGAATCTCACTTTATGTGAAAGATAGATGAGTTACTTTATATAAAAATTTTAGCCCCCAAGTTTATTTATTTAAAGTTTTAGCCCTCAAAAAAACATTTACTTATATATCTCTCAATAATGCAATTATCAATTATAGTGATAGTTATGCCAATTTATATCATTTTCTCATCCTTTTCCAATAAAAGGTGTAGCTAAGCTATTTGCTAAACTAAGCTCATAGGATCATATAGAGTTCTTCAACGTGTTCACCAACAAAATTTGGATATATACAACTAATCAAAGCTATTGAAACATCCTTGAAATTAATATAATTAGGCTATCAACCTAAATCAAGCTAAATGTTGTTGGTTCCATCAACAATCACAAAGCTAGACTTGGGTGGTTTGAAAAGGTAAGCTCAAACTTTTAGGTTACTTCTTGTTGCTAGAGTACTTGAGACACAATTAGGTTTCTTGTGTGGTTCTTCTCATATCAGTATGCTAGATGACTTTCTCATTGTTGCTGTTATTTGTGTCATTTTTTTGTTTGGTGGGCCTAATAGAATAATGTTATTATTCTTCTTGGACTTTTGTTTTATAATGTTTTCCATGGTTTTAATAAAACTAGTATTTAACCCCATGAAATGTACAGGTGAAAAATATTTGACAGAGTTAAGGAATGAAAAAGTGTGGTGAAAGGGGGTAAAGTGTTTTGGATGTGAGATTTATATTTTAAATTAAACAGGCTCAAGACTAAAACAATTGTTGAAAACTGTATGTGTAGGGTCCACCAAAATTAATGTTAAAACAACTGTTCCTACAGTAAAATCCATGGATTTTACAATATATATTGATGATTTGCTCTCACTTAACCAAAAAAAAAGGTTAATTCTTGTAGTTCCTGTAATAAAATATTTATGGGGATGAATATCTTTTAGTAATTGCCTAATAGGCATCAACTTCAAGCTCATTGATATTAATTCAACTTAGAAATGATGGATGATCTTGGATTAATAGCCTATTTACTTGAAATCAAGATCAAACAAAATACAGAAGTTTTCATTTGTCAAGAAAAAAAATACCAATTAAGGAAATTCTGAAAATGTTTCACATTGATCATTGCAAGGCTATGAATTCTCCTATGAAACACAAGAATAGGGATAAAGCTGAATTAGTGGATGAAGCATTCTATAGAAATCTAGCTAGTTTTCTGCTACCTAATGCACATGAGTATTTTGTAAGAACATTGTAATTAAAAATGAAATTATATATATATATATATATATATATATATATACACACACACGAGTATATATGAGATGAAGAACTTACATTATCGGTGAGATTCAGAGCAGCTTGAGGGGTTTCAACGCTACTTCCAAAAATTTCAATGTAAAATTCATCATCATCATCATCATCACTTTCTGAATCTTCTGGCAAGAGATTCAAGTCAAACTTGTTTGGAGCTTTCACATAATTCACCTTCTTGCTGGATGAAGATGATCCATTATCATCATCAACTTGCTTCATCTTTTGAAAATCCATTCAAGCTAGTTTTCAGAGCTCAAATCTGAGAAACAGATCACAAAAATGGAACATATGAAAAGGGTATATGAATGAGCTACAATAATTCCCAAACAAGAATTACCTTAAGAATGGAATAAAATGGTAATATATATTTATAAAAGAGTAACATATCATTAAGTGCATTTATTCAAAAGGGATTTCTAAGTTCATAAAAAAAATCTTTTATAACTAATTTAAGTTCTACTTGGAGAGGAAAATTAGTTCAAATAAAATTTGAAGGTTTTGTTTATCAAATATTATTAAAAAAAATATTTAATCGATTCATGAATCATATGAACACAAATTAAGTTTTTTGAATTATAAATGGATTTCAGGGTCCAAACAAATAACTATCCAACAAAAATATATGAAATAAAGTCTACACATCAGTTGTATTTTAGATTTCAGTATATTTTTGTGGACGAAAAATCTCTCTCTCTCTCTCATTAAATTAAAAACAAGTCACACTATTTATTTACGTCATAATTAAATAGTAAGAATTGTTTCTCTTATATGTAATAGTGGCAGACGTAGGACCTTGGATAAATGAGGGCACAAAATATGAAATTATCAAAATTAAAATTAGAATACTATAAAAAATGATATATAAATTTCTATTACCAAAAAAATAATAATCAAACATTAAATTTAACGGGTTAAGAACTTAAATCTATTAGAATTAAGTGAAATATTAAAGGCTTAAGCTTTTTTAAAATTCAAATATGTTTTATTTTGAGTCTAATGGATTCAAAATTATTGAGGTAGTGAGCTGTAAATTTTTAAAAATTACAATATATACTTATAATTTTTTTCAAGTTGGGTGGGCCATTTGCTCACCCTCAACTCTATGTAGACCTATCACTGTTTGTTTAGATTATAATAAACACATTCACGTTTTTTTTTTTTTTTGGTTTTTGCTAACAATACATTCACTTGTTTTTAACGATAGATAAAGCTATCATGTTTAAACGAGGGCGATTTATCAAGGAAAAATCATATTTAAAAATTTAAGATTAAAGTCATGGTTGAAACAGCTAATTGTGAAAAATCACATAGATTAAGCTAAACATTTATCACATAAACCACTGGAAAAAGAAAAAAAATTACCTTGAAATGATGAGAGTATCACTGAGAGGGAAGAGAGCTTTACATTGAATGTTGATGAAAATAGACTTGATTCTGATATATGAAGCATGAATGAGAATGTCTTCTTATTAATTTGTGGGCCACAGCACTGAGAGGCGTTACATGTGGAGATAAATGTAAAAATTGTTCAGATTTGGAATATATATAAATATAAATAATTGGAGTCCAAAATTGAATTTTCTGTTTATTTAAAAAAATGAGTATGTCATGATCAATTTTTTTTACATGAAATATGAACTATTTAAATTTAATCCATACGATCTATATTTAGTTTTTTATTTTTAAAAATGACCATTAACAAGATATTTTGTTTTGCAGTCTACTTTTATTTATGATGAACAATTATTAAATTTTTAAAATAAAATAAAAATAAAATTTAATTCATGTAATTTTGATTTAGAGGATATACATTTTACATAAGTATCCCTCTTTCATCTCTTAAGATGGGCTGGGAATTGAATGGTGTGTTAATCTATAAGGAGTATTTAATTAATTATTTAGATATATTGTCTTTTCTTCTTTTGCATAAAAGACAATTCAATTACACTGTTTTCTTATTGACACGTAAAAATATATTATGCCTATTTTCATTCTTATCATAAAAAACTCAAGTGTATAGAATAAACGTTTATTATTTTCACCAAAAAAATAAAGGTTTGTTAGTTGGAAAAAATAAATAAGTGAATGTTTATCAGCCAGTTTGACTAATTTTAAAATCATTAAACATAATTAATCAAATATTTCTTTTATAAAATCTAGTCGGTTAAAAGAAAATAATTCTAATTTTTTGGTATAAAATAATTATAATGTTTAGTTTCATAAAAAAATAATTTTAATCAAAATCAAATTTAAGGTATACAAATTTCAGTAATTTATATTTTAATCAAAATCTAATATAATCGTTGAGGTTTTTTTTTTTAAAAAAAAACCCCTTAGTTGTATGGTATATTTTGAAATTAGACAAAAATAGTGTAGATGTAGATAACATGTAGAAGAACCATATTATTAAAATACATCTTAATCAACAAGAAAAGTAATTTGTTGATTCCTAATATAACCATTATGTTATTCTATTCAATAACTTACAATAATTTCCATAATTTCAAGAACAAGAAGAAGAATTAATAACATTTCAAAATGTTGCGATTTTGATATAGAATGTAGTCATTAGTTGAATATGAACGTGACATTATATTTGATGCAATATAAATCTTATGAATATGAATGATCCCAAATAAAGATTGAAATACATTTTTTTAATTATTTATACTTTCTCCTATGAATTTGGATTCATTAATTGTATTTAGTCCATGCAATGAGTGCTTGTATCATATCAATCATTAAAATTCAGATCAATAATTTTAAATTCATATTTCACTTAAAATTAATGAATGAGTGAATTTATCTGAATTATTAATTTAAATTTCAACGGCTCACATAATACAAGCACTTAATGCTTGTAATAAATACAGTCATTGAATCTAAATCTTACATTTTCCATATTGGTAGGGGAGAAAGAGAATCTGGTTGGATCGTGTTTTTTGTGGTTGAAGCAAATAGCCTGAAATGGCTTTAACTTTGATTTCCATTGTATTGAATTAAGAAAAAAAGTACTCAAAATAAAGGGAAGGGACTTAAATTATAGCATGGAGAAGTGACTATTAACAAATTATTTAGTATAAGATATTTTTGAAAGTGATTTCATGTCCTAAAATATAAGAGATTTTGAAAAAAAAAATTTTATCAATGATAATTATTTCAATATTATCCCTAATTTTTTCATATCACTCTTTAAATAAATTTCCTTCCCTCTCTCTTTTATTAATGAAGAGTATATTTGAAAATGTATGGAAAAATTAAGATTGTAAATTATAGTTGATGAACTTAGTTGGTATGTATAATTTCACCCAAAAAAGGTCCTAGAAATTGAAAATGAGGAGTATGATGTATCTTCTCAAATTATAAAACAATTTTAGAAGTGATTCAATCAAAATATAAACAATTTAATAAAAATAAGATTTAGTTAGATGTATTTTTCAATACTACCATTCCCTTTGTACATTAAATGAGAATTTAAGATAATATTAAATGAAAGATATTTTTTAAAATTTATATTTTTATTTTAAAAAAATAAGCCTACAAAATATATTTAATAAGCTTCATTAATGTGCATATTCTTGTCTAAATTTATTTCATAAATTAGCATGCACAGAGCATTTTAAATGATTTTTTTGTCAATTATTATTATTTTAAAAAATTAAACTTCATATGTCAACATTTAAAAATGTTTTGTCAATATTTAAAAGTTCAATATAAATATGTGTTAGAATAAAACTAACAGTATTAAGATTAAATAACTAAAAAGATACTTTATAAAGTTAAGAAATTAAAATAAAAAATTATATAACATTAAAGCATTAAATATATACTTTAATTAAATAAAAAGAAGCTCAAAATGCAAGGAACATGTTGACATAGGATAAAATAATAATAATAATATTTATATTGTTGTTGTTGATGATGCTTTTCATTCATTTTCTCCTGCCTCAGGAATCAGGATCCGTTTTGACAAATGCCCATGTTGACTATGAATAAACTCCATATTTATTTTGTGATAATTATTAGTAGTCATTACTACTATTAAATTGTCAATGCATTGAATTTCTAATTTGAATTCAATGAATGAAACTGTTATAAAATTTATGTCTTAAATTATAAAATATTTTTTAATAAAATTTTTTGTATAAATAAATTTAATTAAATATATTTAATAATGTTATTTTTTAAAATAAAAATATAAACATCTAAAAACACCTTCATTTAATATATTAAAAGAGAGAGGGATAAAAATTAAATAAAGAAAGAGAAAAAGTAATATTTCAATAGCCTATTTAATGAAACTTTAATTTTCTTAAAGTATCTTATATTTTATTATATTAAATTAGTTTTAAAAATATTTTATAATTTGAAACGAAAATAACAACATTTTCTCAAGGTGAGAAGCTATGAATACCCGCCAAATTGGTGAAAAAAGAAAAATGGCAAAAAAAATTCCCACCAAATTCTTTGTCATATCTCACATTTTCTTGTTTTTTTTTTTAATTGATGGTTAGGCTAAACTAGCATTGCATAATATTTAAAATCATCTACATTATTCATAATTAATAAAAAAGATATTTTCTATGAACATAAATAGTAGACTTCCTATAGATTATATGTGTGTGAGTATTGATTAGTTTACATTGATTATAGTTAATCCTTTTAAAACTTAAGTCCTGTTTAAATAATTTTTTGTGTTTAAAAATTGACAATGAACCCTTTAAACGTTTAAATTAAGATAGGCACATGAATTCATTACTGCCAACTGCTATGTTTTTAGATTAAAGAAACGTAACATGACAGAAAATTTATATTTGTATAAAATATAAAGTTTCAAATAAAATATCAATATAAATCCTAAAGTTAAAATTATTATCTGCACGAAATATGAAGTATAAGATTTAAAATGTTGCTTATTTGTCATACCAAGCAAAATAAAATGACGAACTAATTAATGTTAATTGAGTTAATTTTACAAATCGCTAGCAAGTTAAAAGGATCAAGAAATTATTTGCACACAATTTAAAATTGATAGATTTTTTTTTGTTTGATTTAACCAACTATTTACCTAAAAATTTATCTTTGATTTTAAGTTATAAACTGAAAAATTTGACCCAATAAGTCAACAACATTGAAAAAAAATACACATTTCAATAAATGTTTTCGGGCGGTTATCCATTGTCCCTCTCTTCCTCAGAAGCCAACTTTGGAGTTAAGTT